ATAAAATTTTGAATGTAAGACATAAAAAAACCTTGTATCATGCACAGTGAAGGAAACTTGTGGGGATAGGGTTATACAAACACTCACACACGCAAAAAAACAAACAAAACATAAACAAAGCCAGAATGCTTATGGCAGACACCTCACTCATGTGATCTAAGACCGCTCTCACATCAACAAAGGGATTGGGAAGGCCTGAGCCATTACATGACTTGCAGACAGGAAAGATAGCTTTCTTGTTTGGAATATCACAAATGAAATTACAGCTATCTTTCCTGCAGTAATTCTGGTTTCACCCATGCACAACTAGGAGAACTTAAGTTGTTTGCTTGGTTGACTTTTTTTGAACCAAAACTGAAGAAAACATATTTTAGAACAATGTTATGTATTGTCTGTTTTGTAGCACAAATATTTGATACTTTTTTTTCAAAAAAGCTTTCACATGCTGGTGTTTTATGTATGTCAGTAAAATTTTATTTCCATTGTTATAATAATTTTGTCTTTCATTTGCAATTGAAACATACTTTATTACAACTCTGTTAAGTAAACTTTATTAAACCTCCAATTATTGTGATTTTAATCATTTACATGATGGTTCTAGTTTACTACCTTACAATGATGTTTCACATTTTCTGATCTCATTTCCTTTTAGTGTTTATAACTTTTTGAGGTTTTGTCATTATCGGTGGTTATCTCAGATAATTTTTACAGTTGTTCCTCTGTAATAATTCTATGATTGTGTAAAGGATTTCAAATATTCTATTATACAAAAATATGGGTATGGATATTTGACAACAACAATTAAATGGTATTGGTAAAAATGAAAAGAGTATGAAGTTTTAATTATCTTTATTTTTAATATGAATAAATTAGACATAATTTTAGTTTCACATGTAGTATACAGTGTCATGTTTTTGTGTATTTGTTTTAGACAGCTGAGTGATTAAGGTGTAAGTATAAAGTATATTCTTGTGACAGTATAAATGTTTAAATAGCTGTGTTAAACCTCATTTTAAGAGAACATGCCAAGAAGATTGTGTGTTAAATCTTTGTTATGAATTTTTCTCCTTAGCCAATCCAAACATTGCATGTGGAGCAAAACACCACAGTAAGGTAGGGAGAATGGAATGTGAGTTTATTTAAAAAAATAAATATTACCTGTGCTAACTTTAAAGCATATTTAAAGGAAGATATATGTTTTTATAGTTACAGTTTAAATGTACTACAAGCAGGCTAAATCAGTAGTGCTTATAAGATTTACATTAACGAGTCATTTCATGCAGAGGAATTCTACAGATACAAACGATGCATTTAGAAGTTCATGAAATATAAACTTAAATATCAATCATTCTTAAGAAAGACAGTTCCAAAAAGTTATTTTATTAACTTTTTCATTAGAAATCCATTTTTTTATAGCAATTATACACAATTTTTAAATATGACTTACATTTGTAGGTGGTCACCTTATTAACTCTTTCCTTGCAGGGTCAGTTGATGTGACCAATCTTGTAACTACAAAGTAACCACAAGTTTCTATGCTATAACTTTTAATGTGTTACATGTATTTCCACAAAATTTGGCAAGCTTTCAGCAAAAATTACAAGTCTTTTGTACATAAAAAAAAAAAATCAGATATTGTAATTAATTATTTTGACAAAAACTTGTCTGTGAAGATACAGTCAATGTGTTGAATGCTCCAAGTGTAAAGTGATTTTCATGTAAAGATTAAAAATACTTTTCTTCATGTAAAAAATTTCCAATTTCATTTGTGTAACTTGTAAAACCTCCTAAACAAATATCAAACATTTTTTCCGAAGCACACCACTTCTCACACTATAGCCTTATCCTGATGAAAGTTCCTCTTCTCTGCCCACCTAAGTGTTGTTATGAATTTTACTTCACTTGCTCCAACCTCTATACCCTACTATATTGCCCATACAAGTTAAAGCTTGTGATTTTCTTCACCTACATCAATACGCTCCCTGCCTCAGATCCGCATATAAGCTCCTCATTATTACTTCCAGTTAATTTTTTCTCAATGGCAGAACATTACGATGACTATTTTATTTGCTGGCTGCAGGTTTCTTTTCAGTTTTGCATAGCTTTTGGTATACATATGATTTCTTTTGTTTTTGTTTAGATCTGTCTTCTTGGGTCTTGAGTTAGTTGTTTGTTTTCTTCTCTAAAAAAAAATAACTAGAGAGAGAGAGAGAGACTTTTTAGGACACGAATTCACAAATTAATGATGTATGAGTGTTGTATGAACTCTTTATTCCACTCACAGAGAAGAGGGCAAAGCTGGAAGCCTTCCCACTCGTAACTATGGATGGTTTTCTCAGATGTGTGGTGGAAGCAGAACCAGCCTATGTGGGAGTGTCCTTGTAATTCTGGTTGAGTTTAGTGTGGCTCTTTTATTTGAACATTATCTTTATTTCAATGATCATGAAAGAGGATTCTCGACTCCTTGTAATTACACATGCAGAGTGTCAATTTCTATGCTATTGGTTGGACATAGTTTTTTTCCACATCCTTCTCATAATTCAGGAGGCAGGAGGTGTTGCCTTGCTTATCAGGTTGGGGAGTTAGGCCGGGTAACCTCTGTTTCTTCAGGTTGTCTGGGCAAAGAACACACCTGTTCTAAAAGTAGTGTGGACCTCACTAGTGTGCTACTACTATATCTCATTTTTGCACTCCTCTTTTCTATGCAGATGCTTTCAGTGTGGATCTTACTCTCACTCCCCCCTTCAACTTGTCAATGTGGGATTGTAGCTATAGTGAGGTAAGTGTGTTTTGGAAGTTAAGATTTTCCTATATAGAAAATGTATTTCTGATAATCCTTATTTCCCCTCACACTCTCATGCCCTTCCTCCTCACTATGGCTGGTGTTTAGGATTGCTATTTTAGACAGTCTCGAAAAAGTGAATTGGGAGTAATAACAGGGAGCTTATATGGATCTGAGATAGGAGGTGCATTGATGTACGTGGAGAGAATCACAAGATTTAACTTGCTATGGGCAACATAGTGGAGTATAAAGGCCGAAGGAAACGAGGTAAGATTCATAACGATGCTTGTATGGGTAGAGAATAGGAACTTTCGTCAGGATAAAGCTGTAGTGTGAGAGGAAGTAAGTATTATTGGAAATACATTTTTGATAGAGGAAAATGTTAATTTTCAGTAAAAATATATTTTATCTATTATTTTTCTACTGTAACTTTATACAGACTCTGTGGATTGGACCAACCTTGTAACAACAATGAAAAAGTACAAAATAAATCCAAGTTATGCTTTTTTCTCTCTAGAATTACTGCAGATTGTAACAGAAAACTACTTGTGTTTATCCAAAATAGCTTAAGACTTGTAACAAGCTACATCTTTTTCTACTTAATTTTATTGTTTTATTGCTCTTTGGACTGTATCTAACTATTTATCGCATCACATAAGTTGTAAATAACTCGGTGAACTATTAACTCATGTTACTGTATTGAATGATGTAACGCTGCTTGTGAACATACCTTGTGAATAATTTTTTTTTTTATTTTACTGAATTTAGCCATACCTAACCTGATAAGTTCCAGTTTTTAATAATGAGTAAATGATATATATATGACAAACAAGAGTATAGTATTTACATATGACCTTTTGTTTTTTTGCTGTCAGTTGCTAATAGCATTTAAGCCTACTTTTCTTTATAATGATTACAGTAGTACATTAAATAGTTTTTGTTTACTTAAGTAATGCACCTAAGAACACAGAATAATATCACACGTAAAGTAAACAACATCTTTCAACTATTATTTAACTGGCTTTCTAACTAAGACAAGAAGGGATTAAAATAATTTTCTTAGCTCTTTGATCTGAACACTGCAGGATAAACTTTGAAACTGAAGACGAAATTTACAGTACTCTGTACTGAAAACAATGTTGCATTTTACACCACTTGATGGATTAAAACTTAGCCTTTCTACTGGTTAAAATGATATATAAAACATCAGAGAGAATTATTAGCAACTTGTGAAAAAAAGATGTAACAGGTGGATGTGGCAAGTGGGGTCTGATTTTCAAGTTTTTGACTATGTAAATAAAGAAAATTGAAGGCTATAGAAATTGGACATTATATTAATAATATTATAATGAGTAATTTATATTACTTTCCATACCTTAGAGAGAGGTAGTAAATAAATTAGAAAAAGGAAAAAACCTGGGGAACAAATGTCACAATTCTCATACAAGAGGATATTGAGGATTTATTCAAATATTTCCTTATAAAATTATGAAATTAAAACTTGTATAATATCAAAATTTGATTTATTAATGCTTGTTATTGGCTTGGTTCGATTGGATTGAGTTTTCGACTGCAGAGGGACCATCAACATTTCTATTCTCTAACTTTCAATATGTTTTATGTATCTTCACCAAATTTTGCAAACTTTCAGTAAACATTACAAGCCTTTTGTGCACAAAAAATCAAATTTTTTATAATTCACTGTTTTTACTAAAAAGGTATCAGTGAATATATGGAGTCATAGTATTAACTGCTCTGAGTGTAAAGTGATTTTCATGTTAAAATGAAAAATACTTTTCTTTATCTGAAAATTGTGAAGTGTTATTTTTGTAATCTCCAAAACCTTCTAAATAAATATCAAAGTTTTTTTCTGCAAAATCTAATATTTTATCTGTTATTTTCTCTACTCTAACTTTATACCTATTCAGTCAATTTGACTGACCTTGTAACCACCATAAAATATGAAATAAATCTAAATTACAATTTTTTTAAAAGAATGACTGCAGATTGTAACATGAAATTAAAATTATTTATACTTAATTCTATTGTTTTACTGTCCTTTGAACCAGGTCTGACTAATTTTCCCAGAACATAAAACACTCAGCAAACATGCAGCTCAAGTTACTATATCGAATTATGTAATGCATGACCTGCTTGCAAGCATACCTCATGAATAATAATTATTATTATATTTCATTATCTTACCTTATCTAATCTTATTTCATAAGTTTCTTATTTTTACATTTTAGTTACTTTTATAATGATAAATAAGAATACACATGAAAAACAAGAAATATAGTACTTATCTATGTCCTCTTATTTTCTTGCTCTTGACTGTTGAAGAAACGTAAGCCTACGTTTTATACTAATGGTACTACTATGCTAGATAATTTTTATTTAATTAAATAATGTACCTAAGAACACAGAATAATAACACACAGAAAGCAAACTATCGTATAACTATCATAATTTTTCTGACTTTCTACCTATGCTATAAGAGCCTTTAAAAATAGTTAAGATAGTTGATGTGAATACTGTGCAAAAAGTTTTGAATTGGAGGCTAAACAGATAATTCTGTATACAGTTTGTGCATAAAAATAAAAATAAAATGCATATTATATGTTATTTGATAGACTAAAACTTTGGCCTTCTGTTGGTTAAAAAACGTCTGAGAGAACTATTGGCAATTTGTGACAGGTGAGCATGGAGAGTGGGTCCGATCTTTTAATTTATGGCTCTCTAAACAAATAAAATTGAAGGCAATAAAACTATGCTTTAGCTTAATAATATCTTTATCTTTTTGTTGTTTTCTAGATTATTTTATACCAGTCTTTATGCACACTTCTGGGCACAGTGTTTACTGTCCTAATGCTTGTAGGCAGTATATTAACCATTTACTGTTCAGAACTCGAGTTCCTAATGCTATCCAATTTAACAAGGCATTTAAGTTACTGTGGATCAGTAGCCTATTAAAATGGACTGTAATTTTTAAAGTGGATAAACACTCATTGATAGAATATATTGATACCCTCCCACAATCAAGATGCTTCCTTGGCACAGGCCCATATGCCAATTAGCCCTACTTATAACCAGTAATTCGATGACGAGGAACCCACTTTGAGACTAATAATGGCTGGAGACGGCTTGAATGGGTAATGAAGAAAAACTTATATTAAAGTCTTTTCTTCATTACCCATTCAAGCCGTCTCCAGCCATTATTATAACTAGTAACTTGGAATTTTTATTTTATTTCCATCCTCTAGTAATAGAGTGTGGTAAAGTGTCTTCTCTACTTGATGTTTTGTTAACCTACTCGGTACTTGTGGCATTA